TCTCTCTCACACATACACACACACACACACACACACACACACACACACACACACAGAGCAATACTCCCCCCTCCAAAAGAAAAAAAAAAACCTTACTTTTTATGTCCATTTCTAGGTGCAAAGAAATGTGAATACAATTGTTAGGATAGTCCATAATTCTACAAGTGTGATTTGTAGACTTTTCCTTGATTGGATCTTCTTCCACTCTTATTGATTTTCTAGTGTGGTTTTTTAGATGGCAGGTAGTGTTATATTCCCCCATGTAGTCAACTATAGGAGTCGCAGTGAAGTTAAAATGTTGACAAGGTGAATAAAAATCATTTTCTTTCATTTCCATTGATCCTCTCATGATAAGAACTAGAAAGAGATTAAGAAATCATTATTTGAAAATAGTCATACAAAGTAGGAAAACACAATGCAAAACAAAATCACCTTCCTACATAAGAAAATAGAAAGAAGTTACCTACACTGACAATAATAATTTTTTTTTATTTATTTTGTAGTTTTCGGTGGACACAACATCGTTATTTTATTTTTATGTGGTGCTGAGGATAGAACCCAGCGCCCCGCACATGCCAGGCAAGCGTGTTACCGCTTGAGCCACATCCCCAGCCCCTGATAATAATATTTAAAGTGATTGCATTTTTTAAGATAGTGAAAACCATTCAGGGGTAGGATTGAAGTAGGCTTAGAGCATCTCATAGAAGATATAGGCATTCCCTGAAGACTTGTGGAACAAATGGTATTTTCCAGAATGGACACAGTATTTCCCACATCATGCTTTCTAATGATGCTGTAACAAAGCATTGCAAACATCTCAGTTCTTGAGAATACAAGTGTAAGATCAAGGTATGGGCAGGGTGGGCTCCTTCTTGGGGTTGTGAGGAGGAACTTGGTTTTTGTTTTGTTTTGTTTTGTTTTGTTTTGTTTTTTCAGTGGTGGTGCTGGGGATTGAACCCAGGGCCTTATACATGCAAGGAAAGCACTCTGAGCTACATCCCCAGTCCCTCTGGCTTGATCTTAACATCGCCCTGTGTGCATTTCTCCTTGTCCAATTTCTCCTTTTTAGAAGGACATCACAATTAGATTAGGGCCCATACAGTTGACTTAATCTTAACAAAGTTACATCTACAGTGATTTCACATTATGAAACATTGGGGGTTAGAACTCCACATATAAAATTTGGGGGAGACAATTCAATCCATAACTCACATGTTATCCTAAAACTTTGCCCCTCCTCCACAAATTAGTAGAAATTTCATTTCTTCCCCCATTTGAACTGGGAGAGCTTGTAACTTGTTTACAGTTTATCCAATGCAGAGGAAATGTCATTGTTTGACTAAGCTAGAAAGTGAAACCATCTCCACATTGTTCTTTGGAACACCAACACTGGAGCTTTGAGTCACTATGTATGAGTCCAACAACTGAAGGCCACCCTGCTGTGAGGAGCCCCCAAAGAGCCCAAGCAGAAAGACAAGAGAGGAATCAATGAACAGAGTGAAAAAGCAGCCCACAGAATGAGAGAAAACATCTGCAAACCATACACCTGATAGAAGGTTAATACCAAAAATATATAGGGAACTCTTATAGCTATAATAGAAAAAAAAACTTGATTTTAAAAAATAATAGAAGAATTGAATGGACATTTCTCCCAAGAAGATACACAGATGGCCAATGGGTATTTGAGAAAGTGTTCCGTTATCACTAATCATCAGAGAAATGCAAATCAATACCACAACAAGATATCACCTCACATCTGTCAATAAGAATATCATCAAAAATCAAAAGATAACAAGTACTATCAAGAAGGTACAGAAATTGGAGCCCTTGTATAATGCTGGTGGGAATGTACACTGGTCCTGTCACTATGAAAAACTGTATGTAAGTTTCTCAAAATATTAAATATAGAATTATCATATGACTCAGCAATCCCAGTGCCTAGGATTTTCAAAAGCATCCATTCAGGATCTCAAAAAGATACCCACACTTCCGTATTCATGGCAGCATTGTCCACAATACCAAAGATATAGAAGCAACCTATTTGTTCCTTGAAAGATAAATAGATAAAATGGCATGCACACACAAGTGTTTTGTAGCCTTAGGAGAAAAAGAATTCCTATTATTTGTGACAACATGGAAGACATCATGCTGAGTGAATGAAATAAGTCAGTGGCAGCACAAATTCCATATGAATCCCCTTATCTGAGAAATCTAAGTACTCAAACTATTAGGATCAGGGAGTAGAGTGGTGGTCATCAGGGGCAAGAGCAGAGGGGAAACGCAGAGTTCCTGTTCAGTGGTTATAAAGACATTGTGTGTTTAGAAATGTTATGTGTTCTCATCACAACAATAATAAGAAAAGGTCACATAGAGAAAAACTCTGAGACCCCAAGAAGAGAGAGATGCCTACCAACCTCTACCTGTTCTGGCTCTGTTTTAGCTACACTCTCCATCTAACTCCAACAGCCAGAAATGACCAGCTAGGCCCCCTTGGAATTCTTGACCCACAAAAGAAAGAAGGAAGGCAGGTAAGAAAAAGGAAGGGGAAGGAAGAGAAAGAGAGAAGATATAATAACATGATTGCTGTTGTTTTTAGCCACTGAGTTTGGAGTAGTTTGTTTTGCAGCAAAGACAGCTGGGACACCTTGCCAAGGCATTGTTCTCATGTGTTAGGGAGGAAGAAAAGCAACATCTGTGAGCCACCAGCCCTTAAAACACTTCCTGGACCTCTATCATCATAGAGGAATTTCCTCAATTTGCTTTCAGACAGATTCAGCAGGGAACCTTGGAATGGTTACATACTATTTGAGCAAGAACTTTGTCTACAGTCGATGCAAAGAAATCTTGTCTCTGTTCTCAAAGAATAGAAAAAAGTCAGTATCTAGTGACGCAGGAGGCAAACTTGCTGAAAAGCTGTAAGCAATAATTCTGATGCTTGGGCTCGAAGTCATCAGCATATTTTATGACTTTGAATAAATTAATTTCTCAATTACCCAGTTTGATGCATTGTACCTAAATAATATAGATTGATCTCATAATAAATGCAAGGTTCAATTAGGTACTGCAGGTAATGCGTAGTTATTCTCTACTTTGTTCATTGTTTCATTCAGCAAATGTTTGTTGAGGGCCCACTATACATTAGGTCAGGCATTGAGCTCAAAGCTAGAGGTCTGGTGGTGAACAAGGGCAAGGCCCTGCCCTCCAGAGACAACTCCTACTGACCGGAAGTGTTAGGCAGGAGCACAGACAAATGCACCAAGTGTTCAACGACTCCTTGGAGAAACAAAATTAGCTTTTACTATGAGAAATTTCAGGTTTACCTAGAATTATTGTTTAATCATGTGCTGCCTTGGAAGACAGCAAGCTGAATAACTTAATGTTTGTTTGTTTTTAAGCATCAAATGTATGTGAACTACAGTGGTATTTTGATGTATTTTAAGAACAGACATTTTGTTTTCAATAAGTCAACCAAAAGTGAATAATATCAAAAAACCCTACAAGTCACTCATCAAGAGCCACACCACCGAGTGTTCCCCTGTCACTGGATTTTAAAATGGGATCTATTATTAATACTTTTCTCAGCAGGATAAGTCTATTTATACTTGATGAATTTTATTCTCACTGCCATTCTGTATTTACTCGTCTCCCCCTTACTGGGGATTGAGCTCAGAGCCTCATGCATACAAGGCAGTTTTTCTAGCACAGAGCAAATTCCCAGCCCCTCTGCGTTTACCTTTTGATGTTTGTTCCTGAGAAATGGAATCCATGTTTCCTTTGGATTCACAAACCAAACATGAGGAGCATATTTTAAATTCACTTGTGATGTCTTGGCAAATCTTCGTGAAGTTTTGGAAAGTAGAGGAATTTAGAAAGATTCCCATCATAGTCTGAGTTTCCCTTACTGGTTGCAGAAAAGTCACAAAAGAAAAATTTAAGGAGGACAGCGAATAGGTGGAATTAGGCTGCAAACACTCTTCCAGACAGGAAAGCTCCAATGTTCTTCCTGTAAAAGAAAACAGAAATACTTTCTTTCCTATGAAATTTTGAAGTTTGGGCATTCAAATAATATATGATTCTACTTATCTGAGAGAAAAGTTAAAAATTCATTCTTCATTTAGGATAGGATACCTGATTTAATTCATACAAATAATCAAAGCTCACTATGTAAAAATTGAGAATTCCCAGTTAGTAGTAATGATCAAGTAAGGAATAAGTAGCCTATCTTTCAGAAATTCCCACTCTGACAGTCATTTGTTAGCATGAGAAAATAACAGACAAGGCCAATTCACCATTATGTGACTCTTTACCATCTCTTATATAACCACAGGGAACAAACCATATATTTAAGATTTCTTTTTTGTCACCAGGAATTGAACCCAGGGACGCTTAACCACTGAGCAATATCCCCACCCCTTTTTTATATTTTATTAGAGACAGAGTCTCACTGAATTGCTTAGGGCCTTGCTAAGTTTCTGAGGCTGGATTTGAACTCAAGATCCTCCTGCCTCAGCCTCCCGAGCTGCTGGGATTATAGGTGTGCACCACCACACCCAGCTATTTTTAAGATTTCTAAACAATGTGGTGTGAAGCACTGGGTTCAATTCTCAGCATGATAGATAGATAGATAGATAGATAGATAGAAAAAATAAAGGTCCATCAACAACTAAAAAAATATATTTTTTAAAAAATTACATGGAACACAATAAAAGAATCACTTCATTTTTAAAAATGACTAATTCTAATTAAACATATTGGTTCAAACTTAAAAATCAAACTAGTTATTGATATTAAGGCATTTTTTGAATTTGTGGAGTTTGAGCCAGGCACAGAGGCATTTGCTACTCAAGAGACTGAGGAAAGCGTATCACAAGTTTGAAGCCAGCCCAGGGAACTTATTTAGACTGTCTCAAAATGGAAAAAGATATGAGGCTGCAGCTCAGTGGGGGAGTGCTTGCTCCGGGGCCTGGTTTCAATTCCCAGCACCACAAAAAGAAAAAGAAAAATATTGTAGAGTTTTTATTGTACTTTAATAGTAATTCCACAGGTGCTTAGTTATTAGTAATTTTATTATTATTTAATAAATACTCGTGTCCTAGCCCTCTATATTTGAAATTGTTTTTCTAATAATTCACATAATTTCCAGCTATAAAAAAATTCATACTTGAGGGGCTGGGGTTGTGGCTCAGTGGTAGAGCGCTAGCCTAGCATGTGTGAGGCCCTGGGTTCGATCCTCAGCACCACATAAAAATAAATTTTAAAAAGGTACAATACCTTTGTGTCCAACTACAACTAAAAAAATAAATTTTTTTTTTAAAAAATTCATTCTTGAAACCAGGTGCAGTGGTACACATGTAATCCCAGCTATTCAGAAGGGTGAGGCAGGAAGATGTAAGTTTAAGGTCAGTCTGGGCAACTTAATGAGACTCTGTCTCAAAATAAAAGATAAAAAGGACTGGGGATATAGCTCAGTGGTAGAAACACTCCAGTACCAAAAAAAAAAAAAAAGGAAAGAAAGAAAGAAAAAAGAAAAGGAAAATTTTTTTTCATACTTGGAGTGCCATAAGGATTTTTTCAAGGGGGATGAAATTCTATTCAAATATACAATTTTATTGTGTCTAATATGTTTACAATCAAATTTGTAATCGCAACAAAAATATTGCCTTTGGTAGTAATGTCAAAGGAAGGAGATGGAAATGTGCTATCTGATGGAACTCTATAATTTACAGCTTTTTAGATATTACTAAAATACATTTAAAAAACTTATTTCTTGCCACTTTTCCATTTTCTTCACTGTCACTTTCATCATATGAAATTTTCAATTTCTTGAATTTATATTGCTATGATATGACCTAGAAGAGAGATACAGACATTTTTACTGTCAATATTGTGGTCATCTTATCCAATAATTGACCAACTGAGCTTTCTGGAATTGATGATATATTCTTTATATCTGGCTATCAGGTCATTTTGTGATGATTTTAAACCTCAGTTTTAAATAATTCAATTGGAAAAGAAATAAACAGAGGATACATCCTTCTCTCATATATTTTTAAGAAATAAATAATTCTACCCAATCATTTTTGTTATCAGGTGGGCTATATTCTCATCTCCATAAACAAGGATTTATGAATTTAACTACTGCCATTAATATTGCTGGCAGGCAGACATCTAAATTCTCTCTCTGAGACAGAAATGCTTTCCAGAATTACTTCACTGCTAAGACAGCAACCTCTCAGAGGAGGTATACCGAATACTAAATAGAATTAGGAAAACACATGACAACATAGGACAAATGCCCAAGTTAATTATTTTCTCTTTTTAAAGTAAAGCAAATAGTAAGAATAAAAACATACCAACAATCTTAATTTTCTTTTCTATCTTTCATTATAAAATTTTCACACACACACACACATACATACACATACACACATACACAAAGAAAAATGTATTGTGCTAGTTAAAGAATAATGAAAATGAACAAAGGCCATGTACTTGTCACCTAGATCAAAAATAGTATATTACCAACATATTTTCAGGACCTTATCCCTCCTCACCCCTATAGTATTGCATATTTAGAAATAAATATATATGGAATATACTGTATATACTCTCTTGTGATTTGTTCTCTCTTTTTTTGCACTTAATATATTTTAGTAATGTTTATGCATACAGCTATAGTTATTTATTTGTGGTATTCTTATGAATGAATGTACCACAATTTATTTCTTCATCCTTCAGACAGTGAAAGTTTATTTCCACTTTTTGCTGTTATGAATAATACTGTTATGAACTGTAACTCCTATACACTGCTGGTGAGGATGTAAAATAGCACAACTACTTTGGAAATGAAACAGGTTTTTATTTCCATTATAAGTTAGACATATATTTACCATGCAGCCCCCAAATTCCGCTCCCAGGAATTTACACAAGAGAAATAAAAACATATATCCATACATTAAAATGCTCCTATTTTACATATACATGAATTTTTATGACAGCTGTTTAAATTTATAATAACCAAGAACTAGAAACAATCTAAATTTCCCACAACTAGTGGCTGTATAAGTCCTGACATATCTATATAAAGAAATATCACTCAGCAACAAACTTCTAATACTAAAAAGAAAAATGATGGAGCAGAAAAATAGAGGAACCAGGAAATATACTTCTAAACCATGATGCAATTCTATTTTATTATTGTTTGTTTAGAAGTTTAAAATTTTGAAGGATTCCTTAAATTTTTATCAGCATATTACCTCACAGTTTGTACCTTGTCTAGTTCATCTTCTTTATTATGATCGTTAAGTTAAAGGAAGGTCTTAATTTTAATGTAGTGAACTTATCAACAATTTTCTTTATAATTTATACTTTGTGTCTTATTTAAGAAGTCTTTTTCCCTTAAGGTTAAAACAACTTCACCTACATGTTCTTCTAAAAGTTGTGAAGTTCGGCCTTTTACATGTAAGTTCTTCATCTACTGGGAATTGTGTACAGTGTGAGGTAGGTGTTTTGGTTTGGATCTAGAATGTGCACCCTTTTCCAAAAAATCTCACATTTTGAAGGCGTGGCCTCCAGGGCAGCAATGTTCAGAGGTGGGACTTTGGGGAAGTGATTGGATCAGGAGGTCTCTGATAGCATCATGGAGTAACCCACTGACACCTGAATGGACTACAGGGAGGTAGTGGAGACTGTAGGTCAGGGGCCTGGTGGGAGAAAGAAGGTCATTGGAGACATATCCTGAAGTGGTATTTCCTATTTTCCAATTCTTATATTTCTTTTGTTGTATTTTTTTTTTACTTGTTTTATTGCACTGACTAGGACCTCCAATGCAATGTTGAATAGAAATAATGTTAGTATATATCTTTTCTTGCTTCTGATTTGAAAACAAATACCCATAATGCTTTATCCATGATATTTCCTATAGCCATTTTTAGATATATCTTATCCATTTATGAAGTTTTTCTTCTATTCCTGGCTTGCTAAGAATTTTAATTATGAGGGCATACAAATATATACTATCTTAACAACTTCTAAAATGATTATATGGTCTTTGTTCTTTAATCTGTAAGCGTAGTAAATTACATCATTAGATTTTCTAATGCTAACTAAATATTGAACTCCAGGAACAAATCTAATTTGATTATTCTTCTACATTGCTGCATCTGGATTCTTAAGGTTTTGTGTCTATGTTTATAAGTGAGATGGGTTTGTAAATTTTTCTCTTTTATACCATTTTTGTTAAGTTCAAATACCAAGATATACTAACCTTAAAAAATAAATTGGAAAATAGCCCCCCTCTTTGCTGTTTTGAAAAGGTTTATATAAAATTATATTTGGTCTGTTTCTTCAAAGTTCAGTGGAGCTGCAGGTAAAATCTTCCAAACTTTGCATTTCTTTCAGAGACTAAGCCACTGACTCAGTTCCTTTAATTGTTGTGTAACTCCTGGGCTTTGCATTTCTCCCCAAATAAGTTTTGGTAAGTTGTATTTCTCTAGAAATATATGACTGTGTTTTATATTTGTTGACATAAATTATTAATAACATTCTATTACATTTTTATTTCTGCTATGTCTGTATCTATATCCCATTTTTATTACTAACATTAGTTACTTGTACCTTTTCCCATTTTTTGATTACTCTGTTTTGACAGGGAGAATAATGGACTCTCAAAGATGCCCATCTCCTAGTTCCTGGAACCTGTGGATATGTTGAATAACATGGCAAAAGGGGAATTAAGACAGATGATGGAATTAAGATTGCTGATCAACTGATCCTAAAATAGAGAAATTCTCCTGGATTACCTGAATGGACCCAGTGAAATGACAGATGAGGAAGAGGGTAGCAGAAGAATCAGTGTCAGAGTGTGAAGACTCAGCAGACCATGTTGGTTCTGAGGGTGAGCTGAGGGATTCAGGCAGCTTCCAGAAGCTGAAAAACAGCCAGGAAATGGATTCTCTTCCAGAGCGTCCAAAAGGAATACAGCCCTACTGACACCCTGATTGT